CATCACACAATTCAAGGGTCCTAAGATCACTAATTCACTCAATCAACCAACACAATATGAAGAAGAAATGAGATTTCTTAAATGCATCAACATCCTCCATAGTGCTACACTACCTCCCTAGGTTGCATATTACTATAAAGACTGTCAATTCAAAGCATACTGAGCAGGCAATTGCAAGGAAACACGTACTTGGAGCCCTCAAATTTAAAAATTTGGACAGTGGACTAGGCTCCAAGCACACAAACAGATCTAATGCAGTCAAAAGATAAACACCCCCCCACACTTAAGATCGACATTGCCCTCAATGGAGAAGAGGGAAGGATAAGGGGAACGATGTTACCGGTATGCATGGACTGTAGGAGACTGGAAGCGGGCCAATCGAGTGAAGCGGACTGGAGAGGGGACCAATCAAGACACGCACAGCGAGAGGAAACCAAAGAGCTCAACACAGTATGTTAGGTCCAATGGTCAGCCCAATAAAACATCATCCAAACCAAAAGAAAAACAAACCAAACCCAAACCGGGTTACAATCCGACTCAAAACACAATAAAGAAAATCAAACCGTGGTGGGGTTGCCTCCCCACAAGTGCTTCTTTACCGTTGTTTAGCTGGATGCCCATGGTGGATACTCAGGGCGGTGCAGGAACAGGTGCCTCCAAGAGCGGATCCACGTCGCTCTTGAGGTACAGCTTCAGGTTGTGGCCATGCACCCGACGGATGCGACCACTATCATCAGTCAGCTCGACCTACCCATCTGGCAAGATGCAGGCGAGTGAGTACCCGGACGGCCAGAGTGGTCGTGGTGCAGGAGGTGGGACCAGCTCATAGTGGTCTCCACTCTTCTTCCGTACAGGCTTAGCAACCTGCTGCTTCGGCCGCCACTCCTCCTTGAGCTTTTTGTTTGGAGGCGTGGCTGGATGGCGTGGCGGCGAAGGAATGATAGGAGGGTCCTGCAAAATAGGAGGTGCAGAAGGGTACACGACAGACTCGTGTACCTGATCAGAAATGGCATGCACAGGCGTGACAGCAATCATAGCACAGTGATCAAATTCAGTCACAGAAAAAGTAGCCTGTTCATCCCCAGTACGCAAGATCAACTTACCATCATGCACATCAATAAGTGCCTTGGCGGTGGCAAGAAATGGTCTACCCAGAATCAAAGGTACATCCACATCCTCATGTATATCAAGAATAATAAAATCAACAGGATATGTGAATGCACCAACACTAACAAGCAGATCCTCTATGATTCCCCTAGGATGCACGATAGAACGATCAGCTAACTGAATGCTCATCCTAGTAGGGCTAAGTTCACCTAGGTCTAGCTTTTTATACAACTTATATGGCATGACGTTTATGCTAGCGCCTAGGTCCGCCAAGGACTTTCCTACATGCATGCTGCCAATAGTAAGAGGGATAGTAAAACTCCCTGGATCCTTGCGCTTCTCGGGCAGCTTGTTCTGCAGGATAGCAGAACACTCCTCGCTCAGCAGCACGGTCGAGAGATCCCCAAGTTTCTTCTTGTTGGTGCATAGATCTTTCATGAACTTGGCATACTTGGGCATCTTCGACAGTGCCTCCACGAATGGTATGCTGATGTTGAGCTGCTTCAACATTGCCATGAACTTGGCAAACTCAGTCTCCAGCTTTTCCTTGTGTAGGCGAGTGGGGAAGGGAAGCTGGGGCACATGCTCCTTAACCACTGGTTGTGGCTTGGGAGCAGGGGCTTCCTTCTCCACCCGCACTGCTGCATCGTCTGCTGGAAGTGCTGAAGCAGGTAGTGGTTCCTCCTGTCTGGCCGGAACAGGATCAGCAGATATGGCCCTACCGCTCCTGGTAAAAATGGCATCAAGCTGCTGGAGCTGGTGAGGATCCCGAGGATTCGGGACAGTGGTGGCAGGCAGAGTCCCCGGTGCCCTGGTGGTGCTTTGGCGGGCCAATATGCCCACCTGGGTCTGCAGATCCTGCAAAATGGCACCCTGGTTCCTCTGACCTGCCTCCAGTGAGGCTACACTCTGGTCCAACCTCGTGATAGTCGCCTGAGTGCTCGTCATGAATGAAGCTAGAATGTTTTCCAGCTTCGTCATCCTGTCATCTGGGGCTGGAGCTGCTACTGGCTCGGCAAACTGGCGCTGGGGCTGCTGGAATGGCTGCCCCTGCCTAGGCTGGTAGGGCTGCTGCTGTGGGTCTGGCCCCTGGCGAGCCTGGAAGGGCTGCCTCTGCTGAAAACCACCTGCTGGTGCTGGGAAACCAGGTGGTTTAGTGGTGTTGCTGCTCCAGGCGAAGTTGGGATGCTAGCGCCACCCCTCATTATATGTGCTACTATATGGATCGAATCGATGCGCCTCGCATTGGCGATGAAGGCCAACTGCTCTTGGGGTGTGGTAGACTCCCTCATAGCCTGGCAGTCCTCCACTAGGTGATTGGAGCTCTCACACCACTGACACTGAGCAACTGGAGGTGTAGCCAAACCTCTGCCTGGAATAAGACTGTTGGGCTGCTTCAATGTCTGCACTAGCTCAGCTACCTGCTGCTCGAGCCCGGATCTGGTCTCCATGGCGTGCACACCACGGTCCCTGGAATGTCTGCCTCTGCTGCTCTGCCCCCAGGAATGATCTCTGGCTGCCAATGTATTAATCATCTAGTTCAGCTCGGGTGGAGTCTTAGTGAGAACATCCCCTCCTGGGCATAGAGACTCAATCACACTCTGGCTGTCTGGAGAGAGAGCACTGTAGAAATTCCCCACTGTGAATGCATCACTAAAACCATGGTGGGGACACTGCCAGAAATATCCCATGTACCGCTCCCATGCATCACGAAGTGACTCATCTGGCTCCTGGCGGAAGTGAGTGATCTCCCGCTGAATCTCTGTAGTCTTTGATGCCGGATAGTACCTGTGCACAAATTTGTCAGCCAGATCGTCCCAAGAGGTGATGGACAATGGGGGCTGGGTCTCCAACCACCTCTTAGCATTCCCCGCCAGAGAATGTGGGAAGAGATGAAGGCGGATCGCATCATCGGGAACACCGTTCTGCTTGAACCCGTTTGTTAGCTGCAGAAAACGGGACAGATGTACCCTGGCCTCCTCATCCTTCAAGCCATGAAACTGGATCGAGGATGTGATGAGCTGAATCCAGCATGGCTTGATCTCGAAGTTGTTTGCTGGGATCGGCGGGTAGAGGATGACCGGGCGGATGTCAGCAATCCGAGGAGTGTAGTAGTACTCCAAGGTGGGACCCGGCTGCGGTGGATGATGAACTCCATGATCCTGGGGTATGGGGTTGTTCCCCAGGACCTGATTCACCGGGGGAGCCTGCTGAGGATTCCCCTGGTGTTGATTGTACTCTCCGTCCATCCCGTGCTCTTCTTCAGAATCACTGCTCACGTGGCCGTCTATGCGCTCTTCCGTAGCCAGTCTAGCTCGCTGTTGTCTCCTGAGCTGGCGACAGGTGCGGTCAATCTCTGGATTCAACGGCAGTAAACCTCCCGACTGGCTACGGGTCATGCACTACCTGCACACTCTCAAGCAAGCAAACCCGTGAAGGCACAAGTGGGACAAAGCAAACAAAGCAAACAGAAAAAGGCTAAATTAACAGAAATCACTTTTCTTCAACAACCTAGCCATCCCCGGAAAACGGCGCCAAAAACTTGACTCGACTCTACTGTCACTCCAGGAATTGGCCAAGTGAAACCACTTCCTAAAGCGTAGTATAGCGGGTTTGGGTTTAATTATCAACCCGGGTCCTAGATTTGATGACTACTCAGTGAATTCTTGTTATCTAGCAATGAAACTTTAATGCAAGTCTAAACTAACAAACTAACAAAGCAAGTAAACGGTTGTATTCAGGTTAAGAGAGGTCACCTGGATATGGTTCCCCCTAGACTGCAGTTAAGCCGGATTGTAATTACCAAGTTCAGTTTCTATGAAAGTTATACTGCGGAAGATTCTTAAACAGCCTGAAGTCTCGACTAAAGGTCTTCAGACCCTCTCAATCTGAATCTCTAGCGGGCGACTAACCTCCACCGAAGTAAACAAATTGAGGCCCTAAGAACAAAACCTCCACTACCGGAGTAAATCCGGTACAGAATAGTGAGTTGGCTCCTCGACTAAAGTCACCAACTCCCTACCTTCAATCAAGGATGCTCTATCAACCTAGGCAGATATTCTCATTCTAGGTCAAAGCAGAAACAACAGGAATTTGATCAGGATTCAAGTCATTCAATCATTCAAACCTCAATCGAATATAATCAAATCATAGAATCAGTACTTGGGTTCATACAATCAAAGCCTAACATACAAATCTAGGGTTCTCCATACCCAGATGAATGGGAGAACTACTCCATAGAGAAAGAAGCAAAAGCAGAATCAGACGCGGAATTCATACTGTGAAGGATGGATTCCTGCTTCTGGATGACGATCGGCACTTCTGCAAGCTCAAGCTGGCCTCCAATGGTGTTGAAGATCAATCTAGGGCACTTGGAGACTCTTGTTCGTCGCTTTCTCTCTCTAGGAACTGATCACTCTCTCTAAAACTCGAATCCCCCCAGACTTGTGGCTGAAAATCTGCTTAAAAGCATCAGTGGCCAAAGCACGGTCGAGGGCATGGCCGTGCTTTGCCTGAGCCTGCCCGTGTCTCGGCCAAGGTTAATTACACGGCCAGCAGTTGGGAGGAAACACGGCCGTGCTTCTCGTTGGATACGGCCGTGTAATGATTGAACACGGCCGTGCTTTGTCTCGGCCCTGCCCGTGTAATCAGCTCAGCTCTCGGCATAAAAAGCACGGCCACAGGAACACGGCCGTGTAATTCCTTAGGTGTGCCCGTGTTTTGGCCCCAGCTTGACGAAATGACCTCCGAATGCCCCGAAACTCGTGGTTAGCCTTCCCTTTGACGCCTGGGACCTGAAATATGACAAAATAGCACAACCCGGCGTAAAATAGGCCAAAACACACGACTATACCCCTCAAACGGATAAGAACTAGGGGTGCAAACATGTGCAATTACATCGTTATCACAGACTTTCTTGACTCAACCTCTAAGACAGGGCCCGCCAGAGAGTTCCCAACTTCATCAAGGGATTCAACAACCTCAGTCTGCACTTCTTCAGCAACAGCCTCATCAACCTCAGCCTGCACTATGTCAGCAATGGCCTCACCAGTCTCAGCCTGCACAACATCAGCTTCCGTTTCTGGACATTTATGCCCAAATCTTGAGCATTTCGTACAGATCTCAGGCATATTACAATACTTAAGATGAACAAAATAGGAAGATCTTCTGTCTGGGACTAGCGTCAGGGATGCAGGAAATTGAGAATTCAGGCCAACCTCCACACGCACCTTTGGATATCCCAGCCTTCTACCCAGTCTACTAGCCTTATCACACCAGAGGGGTTTCCCTAGCATACTTGCAAGATGAGTAAGGATGTGCCCCGTTACATGCTCAAGAGGAAGGTCCAGAAATCATACCCACAGTGGAATGGTTTCTTACGGCTGCTCTGCTCGGATCCCTGGCTCCCATTTCTGCAAATAGCACATGTCATTGTGAATATGCCAAGGCCCACTCGTGAAAACCCAGTGAGTTGTCTCCTCCTTAGGGAATTGAAGCAGTAAGAGCGATTCACCCAAGCACGAAACCCTAATCGATCCATGTTTTCCCCACAGCCTATTCGCCCATGCTTGTACCTGCCCGATGTGAGGAGACGAAGCAAGAAATTTCCCTACTAGACAATTCTTCCACCTCGCTATTCCCTCTTCCTCAAGCTCCGTGGGAATCCTCAAACCGCCATCAACGATTTCAGGCTCGATATAGACGAAACGGTTTTCCTCCGCGATGCCAAACAGATCCGCCCATGAACGATCACTTGCCATGACGATGGAGAAGTGGATTTCAAGAAACAAGACGCGCGGCCGCAGCGGCGGATGCGTGCGACTCCGACGAATGCTAATGAATTTTACCGCTCACTCTCTCTCTAACTTCTCTCTCCCACTTCCTTAACAGTTTTTTTCCTATACAAGTAGTTATTGAGAGTTTCTTAACAGAATTGGAAATAGAATACGAAATTCCCCGAAGCACAGTTCAGGTTGGGCACATGATCTAGATCATATAAAAATAGCAACTACAAAGAGATGATGGTCATTATCCAAAGTCCCTCCCGAATTCATTACAAAAGTTAAATTACTGTTTATACCATTACACGCCTCGTATATTTGACACCTTAAAAAGTCGCAATATCCAATGCAGACCTTGTAATCATCCTTCACACACTGCACACCAAACGCAAAACAAATAACGCACGATCAAATAGAATATTCATTCATGCAGGATAACCGAAAGACCACATACACACACATGTATTGGGCGCAGGGCCGTGCTTGGGCCGGCACGGCATGGGCACGCTTCAAGCCCATTTATTTCATGTCGTCCCGTGAAAGCCCATTTGTTAACTTTGATAGGCCCGGCCCGGCCCCAAGCACGGTTGGAATCGTGCCGTGCCTATTCGTGCCCGTGCAGTGCTCGTATTCGTGTCTAATGAAAAGGAAGAAGATAAAAGCGAGAATAAAAAAAGGTGAAAATTGGATGAAGAAAGATAGCATTAACCAAGAATGTTTGAGAAAAGTAACAAATAAGGGGAAAAAGAAAATAGGAAGTATAGCGGGTGTGATTTAGCTTTGTTTAATTCTTCGTTCATTTTTACTTTTGGTAGTAATTACGTATATATCTTTATGGCACTTCTAACGACAACAAATAATTATTTTTCTACTTGTATTTTGTAATATTTGAACCTATAATTCTTTCTATATATATTTTCTATCAAATAAATGTTATTTTTGTGCCACGTCCGTTCTTATACTCAATAAAATCTCAAAAATATTAGGCCCAACACGGCCCACTTATATACCGTGTCGTGCCCGTGCCTATGAACAGGGGCGGAGCTAGGTAGGCTCTCAGGGGGGCCCCGGCCCCCAAGAATTTCAAAAGCTACGTGTAAACATTCCGAGCATTTTGAGATTTTCGTATAAACTTAAGAACCATTAAATACGTCACAGTGCACCAAACTAACACAGTAATACTTTGCAGTCCAGCGGATGCAGTGCTTACTTACTCTTTCTAGGTCTTACGTTCGAAAACTACTCTTAGCATATTTTAGTCTTTTAATTAAATACCCTATTAAATAGTTTATTTTTAAAAATGTCTGTAATTTGTGATATTAAACCGAGTTCTTAAGTATTTATTTAAAAATGTCTGTAATTTGTGATATTAAATCGATTTCTTAGGTATTTATTTTTAAATTATGAAATTAGAATGAGTTACATAATATTGACTTGAAATGCATTATTAATTTGTTAGTTTGTTTCTAATTTTATATTAAACATGTCATGGTATTAGTGTAGATCTTATTGTAAATGAAAATAAAATGTGTTACACACTTACACTACATTGAATTACATTTTAATTTGATTTTTTATTTTAATATATATTGAACCTATCATGTTAGAAATTTGAACTTTAGATCTTATTTGGAGTTATTTTTACTATCTTAAAAAAGTATAGTTATAATAATATAACAAATCTGTTTTTCTTGATTATTTTAATTAATTTTAACGTATTCTCGCGATTATAGAGTAAGAAATCCGGCCCCCCGACCGCCAAATCCTGGTTCCGCCCCTGCCTATGAAGTTTAAGTCCGGCACGGCCCACTTATATACCGTGCTCGTGCCGGACATGCCCATTTATTTCGTGCCCGTGCTTGTGCCGTGCTCTAACCGTGTCGTGCCGTGCTAGCCCGTGGATGGCCCGGCCCGGTGCCCACGTACACACATGATACACGATTATATTGCCTATGCAGCCACTGGGCATAGCCTGGATCGGTCAACGCGGGTTCCGGGGAGATAGCAACTGCACATACAGGAAAATAATTTTTGCTATTCATTCATGTATATACACAGTCGTACAGTTACATGATCACCATTATCAATAATTAATTAAGGGCGATGATGAATTGATAGGATCCAACAACTAAAGCAGAGTCATTAATTGATTAGAATCTGCAAACAATCAACCAATCCAATCAGACCGAAAGACCGAAAGAAGAAGAAGAAGAAGAAGAAGAAGAAGAAGAAGAAGAAGAAGAATGATGGGTTAGCGATGATTGGAAACAAAATCAAACGAACCTAGAGGACCGGCGCCGGTGAAGCCTGCGAGACAGGGGTTCGTCGACGTGGAGTTAATCCAGTGATCGATGATTGATCCCCAGCCGCCGGCGCCCAATACCCTTTCTGAAGGTACGACCGGCTGATAATCCCGTGTCCCAGCAATGAATAAGAGGATGCTGCCAGCCATTACCATCTGTTGTCACACGTACAGGTACAACCGATTCGCTTTCTCCTTCTCACTCGCGTACGTTCACCCACAACCGCCAGCAAGCTGCAATCCCTAACCCTGAAAGTAAACGCACTCGGGAGTCGGGAGATTGTCTTTCAGCAAACCATCTATTACACATATGTGAAATCAAACAATGAAGAAGCAAACCAGTTATTAATTCCGCACCGCCCGGAGAAAAACAAAAACAAAAAGCATAAAAATTTGTTCTCATAATCTCCACGCGAGCATGACATGGTGCTCTAAAAAGCTTCATCGCTCTAAAATGGCTCAAGATAGGTGCATAACCATGGGTTATGCACCAATCAATAATTAAATTTGGACCCTTCATTTAGAAAATTCATATCTAAGGATGGAGAATTAAAGATCATTTTTATTTTTCCTAACTTTCTTAATTGACTCATATCTTTTTCTTTTTTAACTCGGATTTTAATTTTTTTGGCACAGATGGAACGAGTTCATCGTGCTCTACAAAATGAGATCAATTTTCAATATTTTTTTAGAAAAAAAATGCTGGCCTCTCGGTACTAACTGCATACCATATGGTATTTTCTTCGTTTTTAATTCGTTTTTGAAAACGTTTGCACAGAAGGGACGAGTTCATCATGATCTATTGGATTCTAAAAATTTCTGGGTGAACAAATTACATGACCAAAAAATACCACACAATACCATACAATACCACCCTGGTACGAGGTGGTATCTTGTGGTACACAATGATAAAAGCCGTAAATGACAGTTAATATACTTCTACTATCATGTATTCAACCATCCTACAGTCTTGGTTTGTTCATACCATCATGGTATGCTTTTCAAATCATAGGTATGCTCTTATCTCAATACCAGTCAATACCATATGGTATAGACTGGTAAAAAATGGCTCAATTTTTTTTGTTCGAAAAATATATCAAAGTGGATATCATTTTGAAGAGCACAATTAATCTGATCTAACTGTGCAAAAAAAAATTAAATTTCGACTTAAAACGAGTGAGAAATTGTCCGTCAAAGATTAATGAGGGAAAAATTAAAGGCTTTCCGGGAGAGAGAGGTATGCTGATGTGGGCTGGTTACTCATGGTTACTCATGGGTACTTACCATAAGGTTACTCACCTGATCTATTCCCTCTAAAAAGTGCCGCTACCTCTAATAAGTGCGATGTCGCGGCTTATGATTGGTCCACGCGAGCATGATATGGCGCTGTTTTGTTTTCCCAATAAACCCAAACCCGATAGCCTGGAATATAACTCAAACCGATATTGGCCCAAATAACCAGCGGCGGATCCAGGACATAAGAGAGCACTGGGCCGTATTTGAATAGAATATTAGATACCATAAACAAAAATATATAATAATATAGTTTTCATTACAATGCCAATTGTACAAGAAGGTATTTTAATTTAGCAAATTCATCAATAATATAATCTCAATCCATACTGATAATATACTCTTTTTCAAAGAAAATAGCTAAGTAATCAACGAGAAATTTATCGCTCATTTTGTTGCACAAATCAATGTTCATGTTCCATTGCTGAAAATATTCTCTTCATGGTAGTTGTTGAAACGGCTAGGTCAACACTAGACAAATCAACCGACAAATCAATTTGTATTATGTGTCCATCCCTGTTTCCTCCAGGTTCTCTAATAATTTTGCAAGAGAAGAAACTTCATCCTCACACATTCTCCAAAGAATGCATCACATAGCCTTCAAAGTCTCGAGGCTAAACTCTTGAGCAAGTTCGTAAATATTTTCTTCATCAAAACACCAGAAAGAACGGTTAGAATCTAGTGCCCCACTCAATTGAGGCAATCTAAATGATGACTCAGCAAGTCTGTAAATATTTTCTTAATAAAAACAATGGAAAGAAAACGAGCTCGACGGGCTGGAGGAGAAATCCATTTTGGATATGCTAGTCTCCTCGTTCTTGTTTTGTTTTGGGGGGATTGGGAAATTTTTTGAATTTTGAACGGAAGGGTGTGCTTTAGTTTAGATTTTTTTTTTTAATGAAACTTTACACTTTTAGGT